TCTCCTGGTGCCTGTCTGTCTTCATTCTCTCTGGGTTCACTATTGTGCCTCGTTTCAGCTACTGCCTGTCCTTTCCTCCTCCCCTTCCACCATGGTGGTGAAATGTGCTGTTGCTTAAGGCCAGAAAGCAACAGAGCTGGCCATCTACTTCACCTTCCTACCCTACCCTGCTGCACTGAGACCTACTGTGGTGGATGGGGGCAATGAGACAAGGAGAGGAAAGATATCTTGCCTGTGCGCTCAGAAACCCTGAAGTATCCTTAGGGGCTGGGAAGAGGGAGTTGAAAGGGGAATCTTCCTCACTGCGTGCAGCCCTGCTTATAAGTGACATTTCAGCTGGCATGACTGTGTGACAAATCTGTGACTGCCACTCTCAGTGAGTGACGTTTGCCAGTTACATGTCTGCTGTCAACAGTCCACCTGGTATCTTCGCTTTCAAAATACAGACACCCTCATCTTCCTAAGCATTTGGGTAGCAAAGTCCAAGAGTCATTTCCTACACTATGTCTCTATCGTGATAATTCTACTTTGGGTATTTAAAATACTGTTACACCTGTTGCTACGTTATTTATACTACCTTTATATGTCTCCTATGTCAGCTGAACTTTACAAAACCATTTTTGGACACCTGGACACTGAACTACAGTAATGGCTGGCCTATAAAATGTGTGCAATAAATAATAATTTTATTTTAAGTACAGAAAAGTTCTTGCTAATATAATATGCAATTTTTTCAGAATAAAAAAGCTTTACATACTCAGTTATTTCATCTTTTCTGGGGACTGGTGTACAGGTACTACCAATGACTGGTCTGGCTGTGGTTAATATAGATATTAATGATTTAGATGGAAAGTCCTGAACAATGGGCATATATTATGAATAAGAAATAAAGATGTGTAGCAAAACCTACAACATAATCTAGTGAATAAATGTAATACCAGAAATTTTTTTTTTAAAAAAAGCAGAAAAAGTTAATAAAATCCGTTCTTGCTTTCTGGGAGTATGTGAATTAATTATGTGAGTAAAGAATGTGTGCATTTTTTTCTTTAATATAACTATATTGATACTATTTTTCATACCTTTGTGTGTGTGTGTAAATACAGAATACCCCTGTGGAACAGAAAGTGAAGAAAAATAATCTAATTTACACTGCTGTAGACCTGCTTGTAGAAAGAATATGTCCCCATATTAGAATTTTACAATACTTTTGTCAAAAGCATCACTGGGTCTTGAATAATTGGGTCCCAGCTGGATGCAAAGGCAGATCCATAGATTGTGTTCACATAGGTGCTCACTGCTTTCCTCAAATACAGTTTGTTTTATACATTTTCATTTAAAAGGACAGCAAAGGTGTGTGCGTGTGTGGAGGGAGATTTGAATCATTAAATGCTCCTGATTGTGATATTCACAGGCTGGGGGTAGGGGTAGTGAGTTACTTACCTGATTTTTTAAAAAAATTGTATTAAACACACCCCTAAAATGCTCGGCCTTCTACTGTGAAGCTAGCTTTCTTGTTATTTCTCAATGGCAACAGCAAATCACATCATTAACTATAAATTGCTCTTGGCTATTTCTTCAAAGTAGTTTGACATTAGAGTTTGATTGGTCTCTAGTATAATCTAGAAACTGTTTCCCACTAGTGGGATAAAGGGAATGTGAACAAAATATTAGGCAGCATTACTTGCATTTTTACACCCCTTCACACAATGCCCATTATGTTTGTTGCTTAAATTCAGCCACCTTGGTTATGCTCAAATACTTTTAGTTCGATGATGTTCAGTGATCACATGAAGTCAGTGAGCCTCATACCGTAGAATACTAGTTGTATGTGGTTTAAAAAAATGCACTGAAATCCAATTCAGTTTTGATTGGAGTCAAGTACGGAAAGCCTTGCTAAGTTAAGGTGATTTTACCTTTATCATTTTGCATGACGGGACCTGGAGCCACACAAACTAAAGCATGTTTGGACTTACCATGCTTTCCTTTTTCAGAAAACAGAATTCTTTTTAATTAAAAACATTTTTTTTTTAAATTTCGGTATGTGTAATTGCTAACACCTGCTATGTGTTACTAACAGATGTTTCCTACTTACCTAAGGGAACTGTTATAATTACACTATAAGCTTATTGGAATGGCATTTAACCAAGCTAGTTTAGGAACTGTAGGTGGTGACTTTGTAGTCTTTTATTAGGCTTTCCTCTTTTTTTTTTTTTAAACACCTTTAGGTGACAAGAAAGCTTGAAAACACCATAGTTACCACCCACAATTCACAAATAGTGGGTTTTTAAAGCATTATTCAAATTAAAGTACTAAGCAGCTTCAGGTCAGAAAAAGAATCAGCTTTTGTATAAGTCTCAAGAGCTCAATCTACAATATATGTTACATTGTTCATGGCCTCAGCCCTCCAATCAGCTTTGTAAGGGAGGGTGTCTCTGTTCCTGCCAGAACCCCACTCACATCAATGGGGCACTGGACAGGGAAAGGCGGGGGACTGCCCAACTGGAGGTCATTGCAGAGTTAGGGCCTCTATTGATAAAGGATCCTGGTAAAGTGATTAGGGCATCATATTTAGGAGCCTTGCTAATGCTGGGTTTGGGTTGCATAGATTGACAGTGTGATTGTGGGCAAATCCTTTAACCTCTGTGCCTCAATATTTTCATCTGTAAAATAGAGATAATGCCTCACAGGATGTTGGGATGCATAATTGAATTATGTTTGCACAGGGCTTTGAAAGCACTATGGCAATTGTATGCATTAAAATATAATAAAGAACCTGAAACACAGGTGCAGTTCAATGCATTCATGCGACAGCGGTTTGCAAGCATTGTGGGAAGTATTGTGGCTTTCTGATTGTTTAGGCTTCTCTGTAAAGCATGATATTCTGTGTGCTGCCTTTGCCTCTTCATTTATGAAACTAATCACACAATTACCTGCAGGCATGTGTTAAATATGACACTGGTCTCAGCAAAATAATGGGCCAATTGCAAACAATGAATAAAGCCAGGCAGCTCCATTTATAACTGCTGTTTCAACAGAGCTGTGTTGTAATCAAAGTGATCTGAGGGTGACTCATTAATTAATTGATGTTCTTTTTTATTATGTACTATTGAGTTAATGAGTAATTTGTGCTAGATAACTCTCCGAACACATTGATTACGTGAGATATTTTCTGGGACTTTCATACCAATGACATGCTGAATAGGTAGAAGATATTTGCTTATGTATACTCATTATTAGCAGGTTCAGGATGAATATAAATCAGCAGAAGGGCATTTTAAAGGTACTGGGTACATCCAACCTTTCCATTAAGGCTTTAAACAGACATGCCTTGGCTTTAAATGACTTAAACAGTGTTAAACTCACTTCCTTTATAATACTTCTATCACCCACAACTGGCAGCTTCTAGAAAGGGTTCTTATACAAAAGGATTATATGAGGAACATGTTTGTGCTAATGGCCTATTACCTCATGTATATTGTGTTATGGTTTCTTTTTGCAATGTACTGAAGCGAACACTAAACAGGTTTTGGTCTGTATATCTGGGGTTGGGGGAAGAAATGTATTTAAGTGAATATGTAATTGGCTTTTTATCTAAAGTGGTATTTAAAAGAATAAAAACACTGCTTTTGTATACAGTACACACTTTGCTTTCTGTAGTTTGAGTCATTAAAGCTTATTGTTTATTGAAACCACAACATCTCCAAAGCCAGTTTGATAGGATTTAGGAGGATTTTTTTATTCATTAAACAACAAATGGATAAATTGATAATTTAGTCTGACAACAGCAGCACAGTTGAAGCTTTCAGAAGAATCAGTTAAATGTATAAAATTATACCCAGCAATCACTACAGACCTTCATTTTTTGACAAGATTTGTTCTAGGTACAGATGACTGTAAACTACCGACCGCTGAGAAAATTATAAGAAGCTGCTGCATATTATGGTGCAAAAAGCCTTTAAGTACTTTGTCTGTACAGGCTAAACCTTACCGATCCCTCTTGTTTTTCACAATCTTCCTCCTCGCTGCCCACTTTTCTTTCTATTTTATTTAATGTGGGCAATGTTGGTGTAGCTGTGTTGGTCCCAGGATATGAGAGACAAGGTGGGTGAGATAATATCTTTTAGTGGACCAACTTCTCTTGGTGAGAGAGACAAGAGCTCTGTGTAAGCTCGAAAGCTTGTCTCTCTCACCAAAGAAGCTGGCTCACTAAAAGATATTACCTCACGCACCTTGTCTTTCTCTTTTCTTTAAGTCATTTCATATGTTGGCAATTAAGTACATTTGAGGGAATGGTGGCAGGTTCCCCCATACCACTTTTTTGGTGTGCACAAATTTGAGCACTGTGGAGGGGAGGGAAAGGTGTGTGTGTGAAATAAACCAGAAAACTTATTAAGCAAGATGAAAGTGTAATTACAAAAAACACCGATCAACTTTCAACCTCAGTCCCTGCTCTTGCAGAGCCAAAGCAGTCTTGATTTGTCAGCAGCAGCAGAGACACAGCATGTTAAAGTAGCAGTTGGTAGAGGGTCTTTCTACAATTGAAACAATACGGTTTGATTGTTTTTACGTCACCAGGTGGGTTAGAAAACAGCAGTGCAAGAACTAGGTAGATATATAATTTGTTTAAAACATCATCAGTTTACCTTGATTTAGAGATTCATGAAGAGAGAATACAGCCAGGCAGAAGATGCTAGTGGAAGCAGTCTTGGCTGATAAACAAGCACAAGCTGAACCACAGAACGTTTCTTCATATGCAAACAGAGAATTTAATCACAAGCAGCAACGAAGAGGCCAAAACAGAGGTGGATGATTAAAAAGAAAATGAGGGTAGGGTTAGGCTTCAGCTAAACTGATCAGTAAAGCTGCTCAGAGAAAGATCACCCCTCTTTAACATTGTCTTTTGTACTCTGGTAATGGTTCAGTTAATTTTAAAAATTGGAAATCTAAAATATTTATGTAAGATAGGATGTTGCACATTTGCACATACTTCAAATTATTTCTTCTCTTGACCCTGTCCCCAAATCAAGGGCTATATATATATATATATACATATATATATATATATATATATTTTGTAATATCCTCCAGACACTTATTTTCTATATGTATGTGCCTGATACATATATCTCAGACAACAAGCCCACACGAGAGCCACTTTTCTCCCACCCATACTCCACAATCCATTCTCTTCACTAATCCTGTACAGATCTGAACAGTGGTACTTTGTATTAACAAGAGCTTGCTATTAAGTTTACAACACTAATGCCATTTATCTGCTTTCAAGCCATATGCCAAAAGTCTTCAACAGATTATTAACTGTTTTCAATTTGTTTCTCCCTCATGTCTATGACTGACTTTAATTTACAAAAGTGACCACCTACTTAGCATTTCAAAAAATGCTCCGCTAACTTTTCCCAGTATAAACTAATGCTCTTAATAATACTTTGCACATATTCCTCTTGGAATCTGAAGAGCCAAAAACGCTTTACAAAAGCAGTGTAAATATTATCCCCATTTTACAGATGGGACAACTGAGGCACAGGTAAGTTAAGTGACTTGCCCATGGGCACAGCAAGTCAAGGACAGAACCCAGGTTTCTTAATTCCCATCCCTTGCCCTGACTCTTAGATTGGAGATTCCCAAATTGTGGTCTGTGAATAGCTAGCAAGTCATTCTTGTTTCTAGCTGAAAGTAACAAAAGAGGTTGGAGTGGGGAGGTGGAATGAGGAACAACAGGAGACTGTAATTTATGTTTTTCTAAAAAGGCAAAAACACTTATTACCACTGAAGCAAATATGTAAATACCTTCCTAATATGACCCTTCCATGTAAACAAGTGCTGTGGTCACTACAGAGATATTATGTAACTGTGAATGGGAGTGGAAGAGGTTCATGGGATCACAAATAGGAGAAGATATGGTCCACACCACAATCTCTCAATTAAGATGTGGTCTGTACTCTGAAAATTTTGAGAACCTTTAAACAGGACTGTTTTCTCTGACTAGAATGAACTATGATATTAATGACCATTCATTTCCTCCATGTTCTAGATCAGTGAAAGTTAAGCTTTGTGACTAGCCCTTAGTTTTAATCTGGGTTCATATCCATACCAAAAAGCCACAATATTACAACGCTAAATCTCTCTTAGATGGACATATTTGGAAATTCAGATATTGGGATTAAAAATCTATTTCCAAATCAATCCATTGTGCAGTCTACTCAGAACTCACACAATAGATACTAAGGAATTTCTTCCCCTCCACCATGGTGACTACAGAAAGAGATAACAGGAGGAGCTCAGGAAAGCATTGCAACTATAAATCAAACCAACGAGGGAACACAAAGATCTTTGATGTACTTTGTGTATAAGATTCTTAGTGGAAAGAAAACCCAAATTTCATGGCCTCACATGAGACAGTCAGTCATTTAAACACAGGCTATTTTCCCGGTGAGCTTTAGTAGTGCCAAAGAGAAAAGGATTGACTGTGGATTTAGCCCATTTGTTACATGTTATCCCTTCATAGTTCTCACCTCAGCCTAACTGGTTATTAAACTCTGCCAGGAATATGAATACTTAGGGGCCTGCTGCTGAGGCAACAGTCTCGCGGCTTTAAAATGTAGCTCCATCTACGTTAGGAGATGGGCCTGTTCCTGATGGTGATTGCCAGGAAAGGGGCCCCACCACTCTTACCAGGTCCTGATGGTGATTGCCAGGAAAGGGGCCCCACCACTCTTACCAGGTGTTGAAGATTATTTAATTGCCAGCATAGGGAGGACAGAATTTTTTTACACCATCTCAAACAGTACAATTTGTACATGAAGAAATGTGGCATCTCTTGTTTTCTGTAATGATACTTAAAAGTATTGTCCCATCTATGTTAGCGTTTAAATTGTCTTCTTCAATAGCCACCGAGGGTAGTTGTCAGCAATAAGTCACTTTCCTATTGTCAGCTAAAAGGGCCTTTTCTCTAATGTATACAGACCCTATAACTGAAGCTGTTCTTGATGCCTTCTAACCTTATCATTTTAGAACAAGTCACTTAGGACGCAGCCACACAACTCTCCATTAAAAGTTAGGGTTAAGTCTTAATGCAAAAAAACCAAAACACCACATAATAACCCCTCAAAAAACAAACCTCAAAGCCTAAGAAATTTGATCTTACAAAAGATCTCTGCACAAGAGCAGAAGTCACTTTTTCAAATTAAACAACTTCAGAATATATATATGTTACAAGATACCCAAAGGCACTGGTTTGCATTAGGGCCTAATTTCCAGCTAATTTAAAAATAAAACAAACTTATTTTGAACATCTAGCAGCACAAAAGCAGCACCCAAAATCATTCACTTTTGCGCCTTCTATAATACGTCCCAAACCAGCCAGACTTGTTTTTCAAAAATTTGTAATAAAATAAAAGTGCTCTTGGAGATCTATACAATTAAACAGCTGAGGTTTAACCCCTGAAAAATAGAGGCTTATAACACAAGTGCTGATAGACCCTTAACCATAGCATTGTTTGCAGTGGTTGCTGCTAGAATTATTTTTTTTTAAATAGTTGTAATGTAAATAGTATTTTAAGCTCTTAACTATAGCATAATGGTTGGGATTTGCTCTTTAATTCTTTTTACTAGAAAGATGCAGCTAATTTAAAATAGCTGGTAGATACAGAAAGCATAAATATACAGTAAGTTTAGACAGTGATTGTACTAAATGCAACAATACAAAGAAGCAAACAGGAACACAAATGGTAACACAATAAAACTGTATTACATTTGTGCTTCAAATATTACAATACATTATATACAATAGTCCAAAATAAACATCTCATGCCAAATGACACAAAAAGGAAAACAAAACAATAGCAAGCCCCCAAAAATAAAATAAAATAAAAATCCAGCAGTATGTACAGTTACCTTTTTAATAAACATTCAACTCTGAACTGGAGCAATTTTCACTACATACATATTCAGTCCGCCTTTTATTCCACGCGACCATCCTGTCTCTCTATATCTACGCTATTCAGTAGGATCCTGTGTCATTTCTTATATACATGTTGAGCAAAAAAGATAAAAGAACATAGTGCTTTATATTCTTAACGACGTGGTGGCAGATCAGCGAACCTGGGGTGCGTAACCTTCTTTCATTAAACCCTCCTCATAGTCTGTCTGGCACAGAATCATGTTGTTCTTTAGGAAAAATTTGTCTCCAACACAAAATCTGAAAATACAACAATAAAGAAAAGAAAAGGTAGTTTTACAATGGAACAATGTGATCTTAAATCTAAAAAGTTGTACCGTAAGTGTTCATAATTTTGTTCTACGGACGATGCAGCATACATTTCTTGTGTCTGATGCAACATTGTGCAAAACGGTGCATGAAAGCCCAGCTTTGGATTTGTGCTGGTATCTAAATATATTCCTTGCTTTCAACAAAATTTGGTACATCAGAGTGCTTTTTGGTCCCCCAGCCAAGAGTTTGACTGAAAGCCCACTGAAGTCTATGAGAGCCTTAGATCATGTCACACCTGCACCGATAAAACAGGATAATATCCAAGACCACGGGCTGAATGTAAAGTTAATCTAATTCTTTACACAAATCAGAAAAAGGATGATATCATCATATGCTGTTGAATGTTTAACACACAGTTATGTATTATACAAATGGTAAATTATCATGATACTATATTCCAGTGCCAATAGCCACTAAATTCAAATGTCCTTTGAATCAAAACATTTTAATGTGTGTGTATATATAATTACATCTATATATGTTTGTGTGTATATACACAAACATGTAGGCATATGTAGACACACACAGGTTTACCTGTAGGAATCAACTGTAAATTTAGTTACTAAATAGCTGTAATTTCTTCCCACTTTGTGATACAGCAGTCTACATATCCCAGTTTTCTAGTAAATGTCTCAGACCTTGGTTGCCAAGAAAACAATATTGTATAATTGTATTTTATTGTCTCAGAGGAGTAGAAAGCACGTTTACCTCAACTATCTAGTTTCAAACTTAAGTAATAATTTCAATCTAGGCAATGTGTGCATGATTATCAGGCTACTTATATACATCATTTTAAAAACAAAGAAGTGCTTTTTAACACATCTAGTGAACAACAAGGAGGGGCCTAGTATTCAGAAAAAAGTTTAATTAATGACTGATTTTGCAACAGGATTATATTCCTTTGTTTACGGCAAACTCTCCAGCTATAACACATATTGGGAGCCCTTGCTTGCAGCATTCTAATTAAACTAAAGAGACTAACCCAAATGAACCCCTTTGGATTGATGTGGATAAATGAAACCAGTTTCCATCAGCTAATTATGCATCTTACTATATAAAGTATTGTTTCATGTGTAACAGATTATAATGTTCTTTCCTGTATAATTTCCAAATGGGGACATCTTGGACACAATTAGGGTCAGAAATGAATGCTTGTGTTGTTTATGGTACATTTAACAACAGAGTAGCTATGGGAATAGCTGTATATGTATTTAATTGTAACAATTTAACCTTCAAATAGTGGTGTCTGCTGTAGTTGACCCAGTAAAACTTCGTATAATTACAGAAGGTGACCCTCATGACCTTTGCTAGTGGTCTCTCTTTATCAGATAGTCAATTTCTAATGATGTTCAAGCAGAAATCTTGGTGAATTGTTGCAGATTAAATTGTGTATTGAAAGAAGCCCTTTAATGTTTTGTGAAGTTGGCGGTTTAAATGAGTAGCAGTTGGACTGATTTACATTTGTAAAGATTGGAATGCTAGACAAACAGTGAACCCATTTATTTTCCAACTGGGTAGCTTTGGAAATTTATCCTTATGCTAGCTAAACAGATAGAGGGAAAACAGTGCAATAAAAAAGTGGATTGAAAAGAATTAGCTTTGCTCTTAAAGGAAAATTGGTTTGTCTATTTGTGGATTTTTTCCCTCTAGGATTATTGCCTGCTGCTGATGATGATTGAAAATACAGATTATGGAATGATCCTGAAATCTTTAAGTTACTTATGGTCAAGCCTATTTTATACAATTTTCAGGTTTCCCCCAATCTCACTATATGAGCTGTAAGCACCAGAAAAAATATTTTGAGTCGATATATTGAAAAGGAGAGTTATTGAAATGAACTAGTTCTCTTCAGGTTACTCTTGATTCTTCAAATATTCCCAACTAAACTAAATCCTAGTCTATTTTTTGCCTGAAAGGTGTATGGATGTGACCGCTGCTCCCCAGATTAGATACAGATGTTATACATGGTGGCCTTTTCACATACAAGTTCATTTTCCAGAAAAATAAGCATGTTTGACTTTAAATACAGAATTATTCATTTATATTTTCTATTACATGAGTATTTGCACTGGATGATAAAATAAATAAGACACTGAAAACAATATCCCAGTGTGACGAATATATGACAATTGATGTTGATGGGGACAGGTCGCAGGAACTCAATACAGATAATGCAAGCTCCCACTATTTGAAGAATATGAGTAAGCATCAGGCTGCCACTCTTTGTGGGCCAGCCACTAGAGGGAGACATGATTACATCTGCTTGGCTAGCAGAATGCACTGTTTCAAACCCATACAATCATTCAAATACTCCTTTGGGGTCCAGGGTAACATAAGGATTATTTCCAGAATAAAACAGTTATTAAAGGAGAAAACAAACCCAGGGATAACTTGGTTAAAATATTTAAAATACATCATGAAGCAAAACTAACTTAAGCTGCATAGCTTTTGATTTTTTTTTAATGTTTGCGTCTTTCCTTCCAAGATGACAAAATCCTATATCACTATTTTATTTACTCTTTCAGCCCTAAAGACCTACCTCACCCACCAACCTCATAATCTGCAGGGAGTGCACTGTCCTATTCTAGAAATGAGCAGGGACACCTTTTACACAAACTGCAGATTTGTTCCCATTACATTTTGCTTTTGCAATGTTATCTGCTTGACCTTAGACCTTTTTCCGGCAATGTTATACCTGTGAACTGTATTTTGGTGACAAAGGGGTAGCACCGAATGGAAGCTCAATGGCACTTTGTACTAATACACTAGTAGGATATGAGAAGACTAATTGGTGGAGATAAGGTAAAATCTCTTCTCTCCCCCCCCCCCCCCCCATGTTCCCAAACCTCTGATCTTATTTGACCCTCAAAAATAGGTTTTGTATCTTCTAGTTGAAACTGGACTGGAACAAAGTGCCAAAATCTTGTTAAATTTTCAGACCTATGAGTTGGCTAGATCAGATAAGCATCTGAAGCCCCATATTTTGGAGATTCCTTCATTCCTAGATGGGATTACATTATTTCCACTTTCATAAATTAGAGACTCAACTGAAAGCATTCATAGCTCCCTTTGGAAAAGAGGGGAAGGAGAAAAGGCGGAAATGGACTTCTGGTAAAGCAAAGGGTTTCTACATTAACTGGTGTCTGCAAAACAAGGCAAGGCTTTTACTTCATCTCTGGCTATATCAGGCAGATGGTAGTGGCTGGTGCTGTGCAACGTTTTCTTTCCTAGAATCTTTTGTACATTTCACCTAATAAGCATGCAAAGGTGAGCAGGAAAATGTACTATAAGCAGCATTAACATGACAGATTGGACTTACTGGCCATAAATTGACGATAATACTTTTGACATGTCTGTGATATTAGTGGAATGGCCAATATAATTAACCTCCATCCTAAAACTCCTGTCATATTTTAAAATGGTAAAATGAAGGCCATTTATATCATGAAATGACCTCTGTTACCACCTTGTTTGGAAACAGATGGCATGCGTGGATCATCACAAGAAGTATAAAACTTGCATTCCAAGAAACAGCCATTTCATTTTCCAGAGCCAAGTGCTAAAGGGATCTCACAATTACCTGCCATCTTTACTGTAGCAGTCAGTACAAGATGCATGACAATGCAGTGGGGACTTCTTAAGAGAAGGTAAGAAAAATGGCTTGGAACCAAGATGGCTGTGTTGAAAGTGCCTCCTCTGCTGTTGTGGCACAAAGTATGAAACGAAATGTGGAAGCATTTAATAGATTTCTCCTAGGATCAGCAGCCAAACAATCTCTTCATTCAGATATAAAACACCCTTAAACTTTTTCTTGCATCCAATTACAGTTAGTCCCTTATTCTCCTCCCTCCCAATTTTTGTAAAATTTAATTGATCTGCCAATGTATCTCTGATTAATGCTTATGCATACATTTCAATAGACTAGTTTTTATTTTACCTCATAGTTCATTAATATATACCTATGGTTTGCTAATTTTAGGGTCCTGTCAAAAGACCTATAACATCAAAGGCTGTCTAATTTGTTACGGGCCTTACATGCTTTCTTTGGTAAGAATTGGTACCATGTATACAATATCACTCACTGCAGCCCAGTAAAGTACACCTCTTTTTGCTATGTTTTTCAAAGATTATTAAAAGTTTGGTATGGAAAATCTTAAATTCATAAAAACACAAAAATGGCCATACAGGGTCAGACCAATGGTCCATCTAGCCGAGTATCCTGTCTTCCAACAGTGGCCCATGCCAGATGCTTCAGCGGGAATGAAGAGAACAGGGCAATTATTGAGTAACCCATTCTGTCATCCAGTCCCAGCTTCTGGCAATCAGAGGTTTAGGGTCACCCAGAGCATGGGGTTGGGTCCCTGACCATCTTGGCTGATAGCAGTTGACAGACCTAGACTCCATCAATTTATCTAGTTCTTTTTTGAATCTCGTTATACTTTTGGCCTTCACAACATCCCCTGGCAACAAGTTCCTCAGGTTGACTATGCATTGTGCGAAGAAGTACTTCCTTATGTTTGTTTTAAATCTGCTGTCTATAAATTTCAGTGGGTGACCCCTGATTCTTCATTACGTGAAGGGGCAAATAACACTTCCTCATTCACTTTCTCCACACCAGTCATGATTTTATAGACCTCTATCATATCTGCCCTTAATCTCCTCTTTTTCTAAAGCTGAACAGACCTGGTCTTTTTAATCTCTCCTCACATGGAAGTTGTTCCATACCTCTAATCATTCTTGTTGCCCTTCTCTGTACTTTTCCCAATGCTAATGTATCTTTTTTGAGATGGGGAAACCAGAACTGCTCACAGTATTCAAGGTGTAGGTACACCATGGATTTATATAGTGGCATTATGATATTTTCTGTCTTATTCTCTATCCCTCTCTTAATGGTTCCCAATGTCCTTTTCTGTTAGTTTCTTTATGTG